ACTAATATATCAGATTAGAAATTTTCACTATTTTATTGGCATTTATACATTATATGACACTTTAGACTCTAGTTTATGCCGATAATTGACTAAACCGTAGCTCTGATACTATTAAATGTAACACCCCCAACCCATATCCGACCCGAATATGAGTCCGAGGTGTCACATTGACTTTTCAAACTTTAACTCTTGACAAAATTCAAGGAAAATTTAAAACTTTCATTAAAATAAAAGCGGTTTATTTACATGAATTGACCAAAACAACCAAAATTGATCAGAGAATTCATAACTGACACTTTTCTTACATGCCAACACTATATACGACAAAATACATACTTTATCAGTTACTTCTGATATGATCTTCTAGTAATGATGCTGATCTTGCCACCCCTATTTCTACTCTTCTGGATTCTTGGTACCTACGTGTAAATAACTTACACGCTAAGTCACAGACATAGTGAGGCATAAATAAACATATAACAATAATATCACGAACATACATTTCTATCAATCCACTAGAACATTATGATGCACATGTAAATACCACATTATGACATATGAGTAGGATATGCATGAATAAACAATTATATTTCAAAAACATTTCCTTTAGTTTATCTTTGGATGCCTATGTACATTATTAAGAACAAAAAGTATGCAAGTACACTGAGGTTGTGCACAATGTTGTCACCACAGCTCGAATAAAATCCCACTAGGGGCACTGAATATTTGTCCCGAAGGACTACTATGTCCCGAAGGACCACTATGTCCCGAAGAACCACTATGTCCTGAAGGACCACTGATAATCCCTCGACTCTTGGCATGCCAATTATACCTACAACTCTCATATTAAATAACATGGGCTTAATTATAAATACATTTCTCATTTAATTCTCTTTCATCACTGTCCATGTAAACACATAAGCCACTTCATATGATCATTTCTCTTATTTCACATACCTGGAAGGATTCTCTGATGATTGCATTCATTCATATAATATCATGTTAAATCATAAATGAATTATACATGAAGTCACTATAACATTAATACACATATATATGTATGCATATGCATGAATATGGGTTCATAAATTCAATTATAAGATATAGACTTATCACAAGTCTTATCTCAATACAATTCTATCTAGGATAGACACTCACCTTAGCCTTGCTTACTTTGACTCGATTCTAATCCTTCGATTGTTCTGGAACAAGATTACGTTCTATATCTACATAGTAATACATTAATACATATCAGTATACTAATTGATATATTCTAAACCATCACTCCTTAAGCTAAAAAGAAAGCTATTTTATCTTTTAATGAAGGTATGCATCGATGCACTCTACAGTGTATCGATGTATTCCTTAATGTGTGCATCGATGCACTACCTGTGCATCGGTACACAAATCCCATTCGATGTTTGTATTTTAAAGGGGTGCATCGATGCGCTCCTTATGCATCGATGCACTAATAACATTCGATGTTCATTTATTTGAGAGTTCATCGGTACACATTGAATATGCATCGATGCATACAGCCCAGAAATGATACTTTGAGCACGAAAATCCCTTCCTAATCCTCTCAACTCTTCATATTTCACCCCTTTTTATACTCTTAACTCTTAAACACCTATTTAAACTAATTAATACCTATTCAATATCTCTTAAACTTCAAAATCCATTCCTCCACATAGAATTTAAGGATCTCATTCAAATTCCCACATATTCTAAATCTGATTCTAACCCTTCATATCCCTTAATCAAATTGATGACAAGTCAAATTCAACTTCCAATTCTCATTATGAACTTTATTTCGAAATTTCATTCAAGAACTCCAAATCTTTAATTCTTCCTACTCCATTCATCTTGTTGTTTTAAAGCAAATTAAACTTTCCTTAAGCTTAATTAGTATCTAAAGAGCAAAACCAAACTTAAATCTCAACTAATAAACAACTAATAAGAATTCTTACTTTTACCTTGGCTCATACGCACAAGCAGAAAGGAGGAGAAGAGTTGTCTGGAAGCTTGGATATTTGCTTCCTCTCATACACGTGACCTCCATATATATCTAACGAAATTAATTATTTTCCTTGCAAATGACCATTTTGTCATTCTATTCCTTCTTCCTTGCAAATTAACCCTATACCAAATTACAATACTATTCAATTATTCTGCTTTAGTTACCAAATTCTGAAGCTTTACAATTTAGTCACTAACCCGGTATTGAGGCTGTTATAGTTTTTACATTTTAATCCCTGATTTCATATTTTTGTACTTTAGTTTCGAAATTATTGCCCTGCTAATGTGATTTCCCTTTTTATTTTATTCATGATAGCTAAGATAAATAGTTGGTAGAATTTCGATGTAGTCGTCCCATCCTTGCCGTAAATTTGTATCTTAGTTACCATCTTTGTTATTTATCATAGTGGAAAATTTGTATATCTAGTACATTAACTTTTCATTATTTTGGTTTGCCCTTTTTTCTGTTTCAGTGTTATATCATTTGTTACCCCTTTTAATTCATTGTTTCCTTAATTTGAGTGTTCATTGTTTTGACTGTGTAACATCTTTGCTGTAAATTTCTTTGTCTTTATTTCCCATAGTTTACTTTTATTTTGCTATAATTTATTAGCCTTGATTTGCTTTCTTTTAACTTCCCCATTTGTATGTTCACTATAATTTGCATAGAAAAGTGTGTAAAATATAGCTTTTATTTTTAATTATATGATGAATGAAGCTTTATATCTTTTACATTTATTACGTATATGTGTATATAACATATATTATGTGTTAAGTTTTCTATTTACCCAAACTATATATACTATATATATTACATTTACGGTATCTATGCATTATACACGTGGAACCCATTTTTGTTCTTTAAATGTGTATATGTGCTATTTACCTATAATGTGGCTCACTGATTTCTTTCCATGTATATTTATTTGGCCTTAGGTTACTTACTGGAATTTGCATCTTTGCTTTTGTTACTCTTTTTAAACCTTTGTATTTAGTTCATAAATTTAGATTTTAGACTTAATCAAATTTATATTTCTCACGCTTTAGTCCTTTAATTTACCGAGTAATTTGAATTGATCTTCGCATTAACATGCTTACTCGATTCAATAATTGGTAAAATTTAATTAGGATTAATAATTAGAGCCTTAGAATTTCAACTTAGCCCTTAGATTTAGATTCTTATATTTTAGTCCCTAAACTTTTTAATTAGATTTTCCTTTAACATAATTAATTATATCTTCAATTAGAGTCTTCACATTAGGTTAGATTTCAATCTTGTCCTTTAATTTAGGGAGTAATCTGAGTTGGCCCTCGCCTAAATGCCCAAGAGACCATCTCGATTATTCGATTCAATAACTGATTAAAATAAAATAAGATTAATAGTAGAACCTTCATTTATAGGTTTACTCCTTTAGGTTCTTTAAATCACTTAAATTGGCACTTTAGGTTAGGGGAAGCCTTAATTAATCCACCTAATATAATTAGCTTCAATATAATGGATTGTTTGATTGCATTCCGATTTCAAAACTAAGGCAATGTTCATTTACCAAGGATTTAATAGTGTATCCCCTGCATTATGCTCAGGGGGTGACCACTAATAATTCTCGAAGTAGATGGACATCCATTTCAAAACCCTTCATTTTTTTAAAAAATTCGAGGCAATGACCAGTTATTGGGTACAATAATTGATCTCCCACATTCATGATAGGGGTGAATATTATTGGCTTTAATAAACGAGCACCCTCTTCAAAACCTTGCATCCATGATGATTTTTAAATTAAATAAGATCTCGTATTCAAAATTTTCAACTTTTAAATAGAGGGTAATCAACTAGGTACCAATTTTTGGGCGCTGTGAGGTGCTAATCTATCCCCATGCGTAACTGACTCCCGAACCCAATTTTTGATTTTCGTAGACCCCAAACTTGATATTTTGATAAAAATAAAATATTTTATAAAAATTACCTAGTTTTTATGGTGTTCCAATTGCACCTTAAAATGGTTGGTGGCGACTCCCAACATTTCATAAAATCGTTTCAAAAACATTTCAAAAAATCTCATCGTTGCAACTCGTCGGATCTTTCCCCCGAGGGGTCGATTGCGACATTATTTCTATCTTTGATGAGTACATGAACCCTATATATATATATATATATATATATATATATATATATATATATATAAGGTAATAATTATGATACATGTGAAGAGTCAAGCCATTTGACATTTCATCTTCTTCAATTAATTGAAGAATGCTAAAAAATCACATTAATTAATAGGGGTAAAATAGCATTCACATAATATATTCATAACACATAAAATTATATTTAAATATTTTTAGAAAATATATATTCAATCTATGTGGAATTTACTTTTTTTATATTAACATTAATTCTTTAACTTTTTATTTTGCATCGTAGAATTAAAGATTTACTTGAATTGTTTTTAAGAACGGACATTTGATATAAACTTGACAAGTACTAACTCAACTTAATCTTATATCAATGAACTAAAATATTTTAAAATGGTTATCAACGGGTGATCTCAATGACTTTTTCATTATCAATCACCAATCATCATATGCTTTTGGATAGGGATCAACCTAGGAGAGATGTCGCTCCTGAAAATTTAAATTATCATATATTTTAAATTTTTTCTTTTTAATTTCTATTAATGATTTATTTTCATCACTTAAAATTTTATAAGTTAATTCACTACTAAAATTTTAAAAAATTACCCCGTAACATAAAATTATACATAGTTCCCTATCCGAGGGTTAATTAGATGCTATTAGGAATGATAAATGGTTGCAAACTTCTTAAGGTTACAACGATTACAAGCTTTACTCCCTGCTAGGAATTTGAAAAGATGAAAGATTATGAGAAAAAAGTTTAATGATGGACCCCGTTAATTTTTCTTTTGTTTTATTCAAAAAAAAAAAAAAAGATCCGTAATAGTCCGAACGGACCCAGAGATTTTGGATTGAGATTCAGCCCATAAGGATCATAAACCCGTCCCTTCCCTTCAATCAATCGTCGTCTCCACAAGTTAAACCCTAGAGGCCAACATACACATAACTAACCTCTGGTGTTTTCCGAGGAAAGTGTTTTTGTTTAACAATGGCGCTTTTGGCGTCCTCCGTGTTGCCTTCAACTCTGAATTTCAAGGTATTCCTTCAACTTAATTCTCTGCATGGATCAGCATAAACTTATCTTCCCATATCAAAACGGAACTCGAAATTAGCACAAAACTCCAGTTTGTTCCATTGAGGGCACACCCTTTTTTTCTCTCTCTATTTTCAAGCTTAGTCATCGAATTCTTCATACAGGTTAAGCAATATCAACACCTGCCTTGTTCGTCTCAGCTCAATAGTTTTCCATTGCAATTAAGTTGTCGTCGTCGAGTTTCCCCAAAACGTCAAATGAAAATAACAATGGCAGTGTTTGGCGATCCGAATAAGATCAAGGAACAACTCGTTATCATCAAGGACAAATTATGGGAAAATATCCCCGACTCTGTAAAATCTTTTCCTTGGAAAAAAGCTGAGAATTTACTGTTGGAGAAACTAATTATTGCTGGACAGAGAGCATTGAAGTTGTCTTTCGTTACATATATTGTGTTCAGCTGTCTGTCGGATTTCATGTTTTCTATATCCAGAAACCAAGAATTGATGATACCCTTTGGTCTGATTGTTGGATTATTTATGTCTGACTTCTTAAGAGAAACATCCCAAGAAGCATTTCGAAGCTTCCAGGTACATACTCCGTTCTTGAATATTGTGTATGTGATCATTTTTGAGTGTCTGGTTTATTGTAGTAATTCTGGGTTTTGTCTGTTTAAGCAGGGGAAGGACTCGGAAGTGAAATGGCAGCTCTTGGCAATGGGTGGTTTCTTCGTTGTTTTCAAGTTTGTTTCTGCGTTTTTTGCGATACGAACAAGGGTGTTTCTTTTGCATGTCTCGAACGGTGGATTGATGCAAGTTATGTGGCTATGGAGAAGCTTGGAGGCGGGGTATGGAGACGATTCGTTTTCCCTTAAAGATGGATCTCAATCTTCTTCATCTGGAGTTGCAGAAAGTCGAGTTCATTAGGTCGATCTTGGGAGGTTATCTGTAAGTCGCACATTGTCCTAGTTGTGCTGTGGCAGTTAGTTGAACAAAACAACGAGTGAGTAGTATTTCAGAAGCCAATGATGAAATTTCCACCTGCATTGAAATATTATGCTCTTAACGTAAATGGGTAAAGAGTTTGCAGAGCAATGTCATTTTCGCGTAGTTTGGTTAATTTCTTACTGGTCAAATACTCCAGTTATTTGCCAACCAAAGTAGAAAAGAAACTAACGTTTATTGTAATAACCAAAATTGTACAAAGAGTATCGGTCCAATATTTCAATCATGTATACACATCGAATAGGGATATTAACACTTTCCTTGGAAACTGTACAAGTATGCATATCAAAGGGTTTTTTTCTCTATTTATAAGTAAATTCATTTGTAGTGTCTTTGTTGAGCAAAAACTGTCGCCTTATGTACTATTTTCTAAATCCCAATTGCCACCATTAACAGAGCGTCTAAATGGATGTTTCTATCAACTGATTCCCCTTCCGAAATGTGATGAACAGCCTACTTTTCATTTAACTTAACAAGCGAATTTCCTGAAAGTCTAAAGGTACAGAATCCAGCAATTACAAATTGATTCTAGATTGAAAGAAGTCGAACCAGTTAACATTAGAACCGCCATACCTGGATTAGGAGACTCTGCATCTTTGGAACTCTCGTGTTCTTTGTTCTGCCTGCTGTTTCCAGGCATGGACAAGTCCCGAGAAGTGGATGGGTCCTGAGAAATGGACAAGTCTGGACAAAACAATGGGAACTGACAATATGCTGTACGTAACAGCTTATAAATCTCTTCCGCCCTACCCAAATTCTCATCTTGCCTATCCTTCTCTATAAGAACCTGAACAACCAAGTCATCACACCAAAAAACAAAATGGTTACAGAGTTTGATAGAGAGAGAGAGATTTCTGATTCTTACCTGTGCAGGACTCCTCTTGAAAACCGGGGAAAACCTCTGCCTACAGTACTCATTGAACAGAAGAGTTAAAAGTATAAGGGGAATGGTGAAACCAGAAGCAACCTGCGATCTTTTTATACCGAAGACCCCAAGGGCAATAACCTGGGTCAAAACTAATGAGAAGATCGTTGTGTTGTGAACAACAGGCCAAAACAGTCCCCCACTTTCATATTTTGGTACATATACATTGAGGATCTGGGAAAAAGAAAAGAAAAAAGCATGATCAAAGGACAGGTAGAAATTGAATTCTTCTGGATCTATCTTGTACTTAATTGCATAATATCATCATGCAGAATAAAAACACACCATGAACAACTTGTAACATAAATCTAAAAATTACAGAGGCAGATTATCCGTTAGTTACTTTTTAAGTACAAAGAAGGTATTGGCATATTCTATAATACCAGGGATATGGAAGCTTAGAATGTAAATTCCATAAAGAAGCTTTTCCGGAGTCACTGATAAATTACTTTTATAAGCAAGGTTGACATGTAGGTTGTAAACCTTGGAATATACTTCCAAGAATTGGCTCCCACTAAAGGGAAATGATTAATCTTCTCATGGATACTCCAGCTACAGCTCAATCCACTCCAATGAAAAGCACTTCAATATCCAAAATGTGAAATTTGTTTAACAAATTGTAATCTAGAAACCTTATTCTCTTAGCTTGGTTTATTAGTGTGAATGAACAAGGTCCACACCATAAAGCAAAGACAATATATCTAGAAACAATGTCAGCACAAACATAATGCACTATTACTTTATTAATAAAAAGGAAGGGCACAAAATTGATCAGAAAATACACACACCTGGTTCCGGTAGACAAGGAAAGCAAGAAAGAAGTAAACCAACAAGAAGGGCAATATTAAGGGTGCCATGATAGAACACGCGAATCCAAGCAGTCCAAACAGAAGAAGTCGTGGGATTTCAGTATGGTAAGGGAAGGTTAGAGCAGAACTACTACATGGCTCTTCCTGCTTTCTTAGTATGAATCTTCTGAACCAATTGTAAAAAAGAGGAAAAAGTTGAATTACTTCACAGGACAAGCTCGCCCAGCCCGATGTTAAAACATATGTGGTAAAGAAGGTAGCCTGCATTTACTCAAGAAGACAAGAACACTAATGAATGTCGGAAATATTCCTGAAGATTCATATTCAGATGACATTAAAATGAAAAACCCAAGAGTAAGGTATTGCTATGCAGGCTTGTTAAAAACAGAAGTTGGCTATCACAATTTTAAAACTCATGAAAGATAACTTTCAAAAGTATAGTTTAGGTTCATATAAAAATAGAGCACGTGATGCATATCTTATAGACCAAGATAAAATCTAAATCTAGATGCAACTGAAACTCTGCCATGAAGTTGGAAGAATTAGGGTTCTATTAAACCAAATATTATGGAGTGGCATGGAAAGTTACCTGGGTCGGTACTGCTTTGGCAAGTTGTGTAGGTATATCTCTAACACTTGAGAAAACACTCAATTGTCTAATTATGGATCCAGAAAGAACGTTCACGAAAAAAACATTCCAGATTGTGAAGTACAGAACTTTGACGCATGCACTTCTTTTCCTCTCACTACGTGAAACAACTCCCTCAATTGTGGAAAACAGCATCATGGTTGGTGGAACAGCATACATAAATAACATCAGAATGACACTTGGTATGTAACCTGTTACAAGCTGGTTCATGAACTTGCTGCACGTATGAACAAACAGGACAGGTTCAAAACAAAAGGTCAAATCCATTCTCTACTAATAATCCAAAAACAGTAAATTATGATGTATAAAATAAAACAAATTGCTTCTGTATGATGGTCAATTAGAAGCTAGCCGTACTAGCTCCTGCATAATTTTACTCTGAAGTGATCATATATATATATTCATGAAATACTGAAAGGATTCAATAAGAAACTTCTTCCAGAATAAGAAACAAAAAATTCATCTGCAATCTATCAGCTGTTAGAAGCAAATAATTGCAGCAGATTAAACATGGGACAAAAAGCTATAGGCATGATGGACAAGGGATATTATTATTTATTCTTCCATTTACATCCATGTTCTTATTTATACATTGAGATTTTCTTGTCAGAACCTTCACTCTGTGTCTGTTCCCAGTATATGCCACAACATTTTCAAAATATTTAAAGCATAAGGCTCATATCACGCCAATGCACATGAAATTCCAACCATTGATTTTCCATATAGTTTCCAAAAATAAGATAGCACAATCTACTTCTGGATACTGATTTCCTTGAGGAAGTCAATATAAAATGTAAACAAATGATCACATAAAAACTTAGAATGGTAGATATATAGCATTACAAAAGGGTTTAACAAGTATTGTTCTTTCCATGCGTTATTTATGCATAAATGCATAATTTCATATATTCTAACATGCTGCAAATTCCATGTTCTATTTAGTTGCTTCAGGCATCAGCCACAACTGCAATGTGTAATGATAGCAACATAGCGAAGACTAACCACCTAACACAACTTTAGCAATATAGTTAGCAGAAAGATACTTACTGTTTCAAAATTCCTCTAAGAAATGGAAAAGTTTGTCTTAACTGGTCCAGTTGAGTCAAGCCTTGTACAAATGTAACTGGAACAAGGAACACAAACATAAAAACAATAGCACCTAGAAGTGTTGCTATTTTACGGAGCCAAACTTGCTTGTAGGGTATGGAGAGGTTTGACCAATAAACATCATTTGGCTCTGGGGCTAGTTGTGTCACCCATAACATGGGATTTGATGATTGAAGAACTTGAGCTGCAACAACAGCATCATAACGGGTCCTGAAGAAAACAAAAGAAGCTGGACGTTCCTGTATCAAAGACCAAAATAACATAGGATATCACATGGCCATTTCCATCAAAAGTTTAAAATTTAGAGATCAATAATTGATTTAAAAAATCAACCACTACATGATTGCAAAAGGGAATAATATGATTGAACCATATAGGGAGAGTCTCCACAAAGAAATCAAGAAAATGACCATGAAGTTGGGAAAGCAATAACAGCTTAAAAAATAAGTGTTAAGACAATGTAGGAGGCCGCTACTATATCTGATATACAATGGTTAGAATTATCAATATATTCTGGCATAAATTCAAACAGAAGAAAACTACTTTCTCAAATTCAATTATGCAACTTACTGTAATTGTGATAAGTTAAATTTTGGAAACAGACCACCAAAGGAATATACAAATTATACACGACTACTAACCCTTAAATCAAAGTTATTAAACTCAACTTATTTGAAAATTTCCAACCTTGTCCGTTTGACTTGGTTGCAACCTATCAATGCTGGCATTACGCTCAATACTTTCCGCTTCATTTTTAAGCACCTTGAAGGAACGTAACATTCCACCCCAAAGAAAACATGACGTAGAACTCTCTTTATTCTGCAGCTCAATGGTTTTTAGCTTTTTGTAAATCTTCTCCACATCCTTCTGCAAAGACGGCATTGTTAGAGAATATATAGAACTTATTATACATTATAAAATAAATAGAACATTGTGTGGTGCTGCAGAATAGAATAAGAATGGAAAAGGTGAAATACAAGTTCATTTTCAAATAATAATAATAAAATAATAACAACAGCAACAACAACCAAATGAGAATGAGAAATTGGAAAATTCAACTTAAATGCAATGCACTATCATATCAGCACACTAAATCCTATCTTATTTTCTAAAATAAGTAATTGTAATTGTATAACAAGTACTGCCAAGTCATGACTGCATAATAACACTGAATAAAGTTAAGGGTCTCGAACCACTTTACATGCAATTTTTTTTTTCAAACATTAATAACCACATGATGGTGATGGGGAACAACAAGATTGAAACCACATAGGGAGAAGAGTCTCTAAAGAAATAAAGAAAATGACCATGCATTTGGGAAAGAAATAACAGTTCAAATAAACTGTATATCCCATACTCTTACAATGGTTGGAATTACAAGTTACAGTAAATGCTGCCATGCCATCTATCAAAACAGGAGGAATCTAGTTGCTCAAATTCCAGAATACAACTTCCTTTTTTCACATCATAATTCTCTAGAAAAGGAGGTAATCTAGCAGTACGCTAAAACACCCATCTTGGAAAAGGTTGAGATTAATAACATG